CAATGAAGCTTTGGCTTCTCTTTTTGTCCATTGTCCTTGAACAAAATGGTCTTCCAGATGCGCACCCCATCCCCAGGTACTGGCATTTGTCGTAGGTTTACTGGGTACAGGAAGGAACCATAGAAGCCCTTTTGACAGCTGGTTGTGGAACCTCAACCACCACAGATTTTGATTTAATTTCACTGGAATAAGCACTCATCTGTCTAGAGTATTTTGTGCTCGGTTCCATACCAAGTGGAAATTCTGGAGAGGTTTCTGACGACAAGGAGCCCACTGGACTGCCAGGAATGTTGAGGTCATCAAGCCCAGTACTGACATGTTGAACCGGAGCTATACTGTCTGGTTTTGTTGCAATCTTGCCACCACTGACTATCTTCATCATTTTTTCTTCTGGAAGAAAAATATTTCTTTCTCTGGTGTTCAGGACATAGACCAAAAAGGTTATTTTTTGGGAGGGAATTAGGTTTGATTTTTTTCCTTGTTCTCTAGCCATCCTTGGCTCTTTAAGCACTCCAGAGTCAATTTCAGGTCCTTCTTTAGTTTGTCTTGTAAAGGGGCTGAGATCAATAGGTCGTCCAGATATGGTACAATGCTGACCTTCTGAAGCGTCAGAGGTGCTAGAGCTTCTCCTAATACCTTTGAGAAAAGTCTTGGCGCCGATGAGAGACCGAATGGTAGGGCTGTGAATTGAAAATGCTGAATACCCATATTCATTCTGACTGCCAGTCTTAGGTAAGCCTGTCCTGTAAAGATGTCCTTATTGGCACATGCAAGTATGCATCCCTTAGGTCTATCGTTGATAGAAAGGTCTCTCACTGGAGAAAGTTCTCACCGAAAAAATAGAATCCATCTTGAATTTCTTGTATCGAATAGCCATGTTCAATAACTTTAGATTTAGTATAAGCCAGAATTTCCCAGAATCTTAATTTGGAGACAGAGTCACCTTCCCAGGTTTTTAGCCAGAGGGCCCTACGTGAAGAATTATTCAGAGCCGAGGAGCGGGCAGACATTCTAACAGCCTCTGCTGAAGCATCTGCGATATATCCAATCGCCTTAAAACAACATAGGAAAGGACTCCAGGATTTGTTCCCTTGGAGAACATGCCATAAGTTAAAACTTACACTGTGAAAACCAGAACTCTAAGTTTCTAGCAACGCATGTGGCAGCTAAGGCAGGTTCAAATTACCTAGGAATGTATCCCAAGCCCTCTTAAGCAGTACGTCCATCTTTTTATCCATGGGGTCTTTAAGGTTACCCATATCTTCGAACGCTAAATCCGCATTATTGGATACCTTAGAAAAAGGAGCATCCAACCTTGGATACTTATTCTACACCATAGATGGATCGCCATCAAAGGGGAATCTCCTTTTCAATGTACTAGAAAAAAAATGGCTCTCTTTCAGGCTCTGACCATTCCTTCAGTATAGAGTCTGATAACACCTTATGAACAGGAAAGACTCTAATGTCTAGATGATTCTATCTTATCTTCCTGTATTTCTAAGGTTTCATAAATGCCTTTAAGCAGGTCATCAACATCATCAAGCGATAGTTTAAATATGGATGATAAGGAAAGAGGGTTCCTTTCCAACATAGTGCTATGGACAAATTCCTAGCCATACGCTCTTCCTTCTGGCGTTGGCAGACTCTCCTGTGTAGCCAACTGCATGAAATGCCACTCGAGGCCCCTCCTCTTCCCCTGCGCTGAAAACAAGGCTTGGAGCTCGGAAGTCGCATATACCCAACCGGAAAGTGCGTCACCTGCCACTCGATCCAGCGTGGAAAAGCAGTTTCCTGGATGCAGACAGCTTCTTAGCAGCCACGCTAAGGGTGAGACACAACTTGGCTTTCTCCAAGCACTGAGAGGGAAGTAGAGAGGAACCAGATATTTCCCTCCCGAATCTGATGGAGGAATTCCGAAGATATGGGGTTTTGTCCAATTTCCACGTCAATGCCCAAAAATCGGAGGCCCTCAACCTTACCATCCCCTCCTCCCAAGTGCAACGCCTACGTGACAACTTCCCCTTCAGGTGGTCCGCGACCTCCATTAAATACTTGGGCATCCATCTCCCGGTCGATTTAGCAGACGTATACCCCCTGAATTTCCTCCCCCTGTTACAAAAGATCAGACAGGACCTCCAGGACTGGACTCGCATAGCCTTCTCTTGGACGGGGAGATGTAACGTCATTAAGCAGAATGTACTACCTCGACTGTTGTACCCCTTACAGGCCCTCCCAGTTGCAATCCCCGCAGGATTTTTTGCATCTATTCGATCCTTGATCTCCAAATTTGTGTGGGGTTCCAAACTGGCCAGATTGCGCCACTCCATCCTTCGCCTCCCTAAACGCTGCGGGGGACTGGCACTCCCCGACATACGATTCTACTATGAAGCGGTTCACCTGGCGCGTGTTTTAGACTGGTGTCGGCAGGACAAGCAGAAAATATGGGTAGCGGTTGAGCAATCCTTCTCGGCGATCCCCCTGTGAACACTCCCCTGGTGCCCCAAACTACCCCAGGTTCTCCGATCCCACCCGACACTAGGCCCTACATGGAAGACGGCGCACATGCTTTTTGAGTCTGCGCGCCTTTCCCCATATCCTTCCCCACTACTCCCTGTGATAGGCTCCCCAGACTTCACTCCAGGCCTGCAGGACCCGGCATTTCTCAGGGTGGGAAAGAACGGTATATTCAGGGCCCTGCACTTCCTTCGAGGACCCAAATGGCCCTCATGTACTGAGATGGCGGGAGATAACGACCTAGCTCTGCTAGGATTCTGGCGCCACTATCAACTAACTCACTTTCTCTCCTCCTTGCCCAGTCCTACATCCCTAACACGACCACTCACGAGCTTTGAGGAGTGTATTTCTACAGGGACCCTATATAGAGCCCTCTCCTTCTGCTACCAACTTAGACTAGAAGCGGACTCTGACATGCCTTTACTGTTCCTAGACGACTGGGAACGGGACCTGGGGACATGCTTTTCACAAGAAGAGAAATCTAAATTGCTGATGCTCTCTCTGAAGTCATCAATCTGTAATAGATATCAGGAATCGGGATATAAAATTATGACCAGATGGTACCACACCCCTCAGAAGCTGAAGCGGATCTTCCCGGAGGCCGATGATGGCTGCTGGAGGTGCGGCTCCTCCCCCGCAGGCATGCTACACATATTCTGGTCATGTCCGTCCCTGCAGTCGTTTTGGTCGCAGGTGCGGGACATCACGCAGAAATTTTCAGACTCCCAGATACCAAACTCTCCCTCTTTTTTCTTACTACACCATAACTCACAGCCCTTGAAGGGTTATAGGAACTCGGTGACTATTCATCTAGTCAACGCAGCCCGCGCATGTATTCCAGCCATTTAGAAGCAGGCATCACTTCCCACCCTCCAGTTATGGTTTAGTAAGATCAACATATCAAACTAATGGAAGACCTTACCAGCACCATCAAGGATACAGTATCCCGGTTTTGCCGAACATGGTTTTACTGGAACAAATTTGTTGCATCTCAGGAATACCTGGATCTTTTGAGATGATTCCGCAGAGAAACCCCCCCCTTTTGGAGCATCTCTCCTATCCTCTGTCTGCTACCCTTCTACCCCCTCTACTCCCCCCCTAAAGCTCCACATCCAGGTTACGTTCTTACAGTGTCGATAGGGTTAGTGGGTGGCCGGGAAGGCCCTGCTGACCCAGACGGTTAACATAGGAGCGCTGTACTGTCTTATTCTTATTTATGTTTTATAGTAAATGTAACACATGTGGCTTCAAAATCAAAGCATCAAGCTCACATATCACCGAACCCCTCGACTCCAGGCGGCTGGTAAAGCGAGGGGGGTTCGTAGACAATCAACACTGATATGCAGGATATTTTGGTTATTTCTTTATTTACCACAATGTATGCCTTAACTGCTTGATGTTGGTGGCTGCGTCCACCTTTTAGTTGACATTTGTGAGCTGATGTTGGCTCTCTATGTACCTTATACTTGATATGTTCAATAAATACAAGAATTTAAAAAAAAAGAGAGGGAAGTAGAGCCGGGACCTACTCCGTCATAGGAGAGGTACCGGGGCCATAAGTCCATAACCTTTACTGCACATCAGTACAGCCCATGAGCGCTCCAGTATGGCAACGACCCCCCCATCGGAGGAAACAATAACTGAAGGGGGATAGTGACAGCGGTCTTTTAAGTTGGTGTGGTGACGCGTTTGCTGTTTGGAGGAGGAGTTGCACTTTCATGGGCTGTCCTGGAAGACAACTGGGGAAATGTGTGTTTTGCATGGGTCTTCCCCGAGTATTTCATAATCCTACCACAATTTGCACACAGATTATACATAATTTGGCACTAGTGTGTGTTAGCGTCTGTATGACTAATTTAGGAACATTAGATTTGGGGGAACAGATTTACGTGAATGCTTATCTATTAAACACCCAATGTGCACACAATACGAGTAAAAGATTTTTTTTTTAATGACAAAAAAAATCAAGTATTTGACTACTCTTTTTTTGTTTCTATTAAGTTTTTTTCATATTTGTGGTACACCTCACCACAAATAAATCAGAAAAGCTCACTGATGCCATAACGATGAAACAGTACAATAAAACATTTTTAATTTACAGCAATGTGTTTTTTTGTGCCTTGTAACATATGTTAATTTAGCATTTTAATCTTCGGTAACATACAAATGCCAAACAAATGATTAAAGAAAACCCATATGGGGGCTGTCTTTGCTGACCTCAAGAAAATGCTAGCTTGCTCTAGCTTCAATTCTTGAGTCATCACTTCGGAACAAATCTGCAGTAAGTAGAGTCAGAACTTTTGCTATGCATACTTGTTCCAAGTTAGTGACTCAAACTACTGATGCCATCTGGCCAGTATGACAGCCAGGCAGCTAAAATTCTCACAAGAAAAGGTCAGCAATGGCAGCCTCCATATTTTCCTACAGGTTAAAAAAAAAAATACCACTGTAGCACTGAATGCAGACTATAAATCAATGTTTTCTACCTTCACAACTGGATGACCACCAGTAGCAGCTTTGACAGCTCCACGACTACCTTCCGTCTCATAATGTGCTCGATGATGCGTCTTTGGCTCAACCTCTACCTTTAGTTCCCACTGTCCATAATGGCTGGGTAAAGGCCAGTCTAATGAAGGCAGAGAGGATGTCCTAAGGCAAAAAGGGAATGCATTATTCTAAATAAGTGTATGAAAATAGGCAACTCAGTGGTTCAATGCAAAAAAAAGGATTCTGAGAAAAAAGTAAACACAGGCAAGTTAAAATTTTAAAAAGCTACTTGTCCAAGGACTAAAGCGGGGGGCACAATCTACTTGTCCCTCATGACGATCTACTTGTCCTGATACAAAAAACTAATTTTAACTAAAACCATATTTAAATAAGGTCTTTACAGCAACTTAGAAGACAGACCTAAAAATACTTTGGTGCAATCAACAAACACAAGTAGATAGTGAGCTTAAAGAGAACAAAATCATTAAATAATCATATGACAGTCCTGGTGTCCTGTGTGTGAGGGCACTAACAGTGTCAGCAGTCCCTGCCCATTTAACTAATCAGTCCGGGATACACACAGCTACGCACTAGGACTTACTGGAGCCATGGCCACGGCTTGCTTGTAGCAGGGCTGAATGTTAAAAAAAAACAAAAAAACACTCCTGCCCACAACTGCATGTCCGATGCGTCAAACGAAACTATTCCAGCATCCCTGAAGCATTTTTTATTACTCCAGCGTTTACATGAAAGAGATGTCTCAAGTGTTTTTAAAATTTTTCTTTCTAGTTGCACCATATTTTAAGATCATATTTCTAATTAAATTTGGCTGGCTTAATAGCTATGTACATGCATGCATGCTTTAGTGTTTACTTTAGAAGATGAAAGAACAGGGGGAACAGGGAAAATGTTCAAACCCTCCACCAATAAATGAACTTTCAGGGTCCATTCGCACCAAAATTGAAAGGAAATCACAATGCAACGGAGGGTGTGTACCTTCCAATTTCCTTCAGATCCGCTGCATTTTCCAACAAATGCTACTGGAATGGCAACCAAAAAATGAATGGGTGTGAATGGGGCTTGTTCACACCGGATCCACTGCATTACATTGCGCTGAAAAAAGTAGTGCATGTTCTACTTTTTTTTTCAAAACACAATGTAACAGGGCAGTGTGAACTAGCCCCATTCACTTTTCGGTGCTCTTGTTAGCACCTGTTGAAAAATGTATTGCAACGCAACGGATCCGGTGTGAATGGGCCATCAAAGAGTCACAGCAACAACAAAACAGATGTCCCTGTAGCAGCCAATTTCTGCAGCAGAGGTCACAGCATAAAGGAACTCAGGATTATGGTACTCATGGGGAACGGCCTACAACAAAAAGAGACTGGAATGGGAATGTAAATTCAGCCATTCAAAATGTTAGACTGTGGGCAAAATGGATTCAGAAATTGCCAGGCAAGAGGCAGTCCCCGAAGCCTACTGCTTGAGATGATTCCTCCGAGGGCACAGAGGAAGGAGGTGGAGATTTTTTACCTGCTCATGCCTGGGCACAACCAAGTTCCACCTGAGAAACAAAGCCCTACAGCATGGCTGCCAGAAAAGCTGAAGATGTGGAGGTGGTCCTGGGTGACCTGAGGGTGGGAGAGGTTTCTTTCCTGCAGGCCTCCCATCTCTGACATGCCTCCCATCTCTAACAGGGGCATGTAATCCTGGTGTCTCCAGATGGCAGCTACCCAGCAGGGGGCAATGAAAAGCAACATTATGGAGAAACCCAGGCATGATCACCAGAATCCCTGACTACCTAAGCAGCTGTGTACAGCCACACACATGGCGTTTACACAAGAATTAAGTACTGCATGACCTCCCCTTTCACCTCCTGGTGACAAAAGTGCCTTGCTACTCATGGCTCCCCCAACTTGGGATGCCCAAGGCCTGCTGTCTTGAAGGGGCAGCAAGATTTTGTCACTACAAGGTAGTTGAGCCAGAAATGGTAACCCTAGCAGTAACCCCACACTAAAGGGATTGCAACTCCCTTGTCATTGGCCTACCTTTACACAAGCTATCCCCTATCAGTCTATCACGAATGCTGCTGGCAGACTTGCTCACCTTACCAACCATTCTGCGCCCAACACCCCTCTCTGCCAATAACTCCACTGACTTCAGCTCACACAACAAATATAATTCAATATACTATCATGATACAAGGCCATCCAAAACTCTGCCCCAAGCTATATTACAAACCTTATTCAAAAAAACATATCCCCCAGAAAAACCACTTGTTCTCTAGCTCCCTCATCACTTCTCCTCATGCTTGCCTTCAGGATTTCTCTAAAGCTTCTTCCTTCCTTTGGAACTCCCTACCTAAACATGTCCAGCTATCTCCTATTCTGTCAGCCTTTAGGCAGTGCGTGAAAGTCAACTCTGCAGAAAAGCCTATACTGCCTCCAGTTTAGAACTGTACTTTTTACTTTCTCCATCAGCTTATCCTTCACAGTTCATGCCTTTCATAACACTTGCCGCTCCCGTTTTGATTGTAACACTCACAAGCAGGGCCCTCCTAACCCTCTCGTATTGAACTTAATTGTATTGTATCAATGTCTCCTTCTATTTTGAAAAATGCTGTTCAAAAGTTGGAGCCAAATAAATCCTGTTTAACCTCTTCCCGACCAATGACAGAATCATCCCGTCACCATCGTTCAGTTGGTTAATGGCCGGTGACAGGATAATTCCGCCATTCAATACAATGTGCGCTGGTCCGTGAGGGGACCAGCAGCTCATTGAGTTACTGCTGTTGATGGGTCCCTCGGGGTCCGAGGCAGACCCTCAACAGCAGATTAGGTGGCCACAGTCCTGTGATCACAGTGAGAGCTGATAGCAGAAACGTGACAGTCACAGAGTCGGCAGCAGTTCACTGTCTTTTGTAAACTGCTAGCCGGCTGTGTTTTGCAAAAGTGATACAAAGTAGCTCTGTAGAGAATACTGTATTCTACTCAGATATACTAAGTTTCAAAGCCCCTGTAAATTTTTTTCTTTTAAAAACCCCTAGTTTAAAAAAAAAAAAATCTGGCTGTTGTTTACAGAGGGGTTCCAGACAAGGTTGCCCTCTTTCTCCCTTATTGTTCGCATTGGCCATTGAACCTTTAGCTGCCATAATTAGACAGTCTCCAAATATGAAAGGTTTTAAGAGCGGTATGGAAGAAGATAAACTTGCACTATATGCTGATGACATCCTGCTTTTCCTGGCAGATACTCCATCTTCCTTGCGTAGTGTTATGGTACATCTGTCGGATTTTTTTTTAGTAAACTGGGATAAATCCAACTTGCTTCCTATAGACCCTTTACCAAACCCATTGGCATTGGATTTGTCTTGTATTCCTATATGCTCCCGAATTATCTATTGGTGTATGCAGATGACTCTGCAACTTGCAGACTATGCCACGCTTAATCTATTGCCATTATTGCATATATTTAGATCTCAAAAAGATGCCTGGCTCAAATTACCACTTTCAGTGGCTGGTAGAGTCAATCTTATCAAAATGATCTGGATGCCACAATAGTTACACACTGAGTGGCCAGATTATTATGACCACCTGACGTTTGTAGGCAAATTAGTTATAATTAGCTATAATTTCGCACTGAAGTTGCTAGAGGGCCAGACCATTATAAATAGGGAAGCAGGTTGTTTACCACGACAGTAGAAGTGATTTTTTTGAAGATATGGGTAAACAACGCGATTTAACAGCCTTTAAACGTGGGATGATTGTTGGCGCTCGGAGCCATGGAGCGACTATCAGCAAAACAGCAGAATTCGTTAAATGTTCAAGAGCAGCTGTTGTTAAAGTGTTTAAAGACTGGACTGTCAGCCAAAAATCTGGGTCTGAACGTGCGCATTATGGCCGTCAGCGACTAGTCAATGTTAGGGCAGAACAGAGAGTGGCAAGACAACAGAAGGGCAACAGTGCAGTGTCAGATTCCTCGCATCACCTTTCAACATCTCGTGGAGTCACGAGGCGGCCCAACGAAGTCATCTCGTGGCACAACAAAGTACTGATGGGGTGGTCATAATAATCTGGCCACTCAGTGTATATCTTGCACAATCCCCCAATTTCGTTCCACTCAAAAAATTTTAGGCAAATCGACAATATTTTCAGGGACCTTATGTGGAAATTAAAGCAGGCCCGATTGAAGTTGGTGACTCTACAAAGACTAAAGGATTTGGGAGGTTTAGCTCTTCCTAATCCTTGGCTTTATTTTCTTGCCTCCCAACTACATTTCTCTGGCTGGGGGGGCAAGGTGATGCATGCACAATCATTCCGTTCTCTTCAGTATCTTTTTGATGGTTATGACCCTTTGGGTACCTTGGAGACGGACCTGTCCTCTAAAAAGTTTTGCCATCTTGCCACAGTCAGTTTAATGGGACGGCTAAACGACTCCTACATACTTTGGGGTATACTAGATTTACTCCGATTTGGAATAATAGGCTTCCAGAGCTCCTTAAGCTGCAGGTTTTCAGGAAACTGGTGGCGGGCTGGGGTGCGTACAGTCGCTCAGCTGTATGAGGATAACACCCTTTGTTCCTTTCAACAACTGCAATCCCAATTTGGATTGCCTTGTACTGCCTTTTATCAATATTTGCAACTTAGACATGCTGACAACCCAATTTGATAACGCTTCTCCAACACCGGTCCTGGACACCCTTGTTGCCACCTGCAATACTAAGGGTATTATTTCTTATCTATATATTTGCTTATTAACCAACTCAACACTACAATCCCGTTCGAGTGCCAGGAGTAGGTGGGAGAACGGCCTAGGCCCTATTAGAGACGATGACTGGATGGGTGCTGTAGATCTACTAGCAAGCAGTAGATATATGCAAAAATGTAAAAAAAAAACGCTTTAAAAGCGGTTTAAACTTACCGCTGTCTTCGCCGTCCGAAAATCCAGAACTGCTCGGGCGGCCGCAAAGCATCTTGGGGCGGGCGCATGCGCAGTTCGGATTTTCAGCCGGGAGACGAGGAGAGACGCAAGGTAAGTCTATGGGTGCGTGCATGCAGACACCGTGGGACAGGAAGGGCAGCATCGCTGGATCGGAGACCCGTAGCAGCGCTGGAGATAAGGCTGAAAAGGTTTAAGAGACACAATTAAAGTAAGGTTTTTACTTAACATTGGGGGGAGGGAAAAAAAACATTTGACTTTAATGTCACTTTAAGAAAAACAATATATTAATAATAATAATAGAAACTCTGCAGTCTTCAAACATCCACAC